CAACAGGACATTCTGAAACACTTCAGAATATTCAAATAGGATTTTTTAAAAATGTGGCAAGACAATCAGATACTCAACCCCATATTCTATATGCTGTCATAATTGATAAGGTGACAACTAAAAAGACCAAAGAAGTAATGCCGACATGTCAACTCCTAATAAATCAACCTTTTTTTCCCCTGAGAGATGCGGCTAGAGACTTTTGATTTGAATGGGGGTGCATGTCGGAGTCCTGCTAGCAGGCCTAAGACAAAAATAAAAAAATAACTTGTAACTTCATCCAAATTTGCAAATGAGAAATGTCATTGAATTCAACTGGGCTTACTTCTGAATAATTATGCATAGGTTGCACTTCCTGTCAGTGCTCTGTTTGGTTTTACCCAACCTTATTATTTTTATAAATAATTCAAGTCAGTAAGCATACCTTGTATTTCTTCATCTTATTTTCCCCACAACCCGGTGAGGTGGGTTTGATTGATTGATTGAGAGAGAGAGACAGACTGGTCCAAGCCTTCCATACAGCAGAATGGGTGATCCAAACATTGTATTCTATTTTACTTTAAAAAGGACAAGAACAAAAAGTGGAAAGAAGGACATACAACTAAGGCAGAATATCAGCAGATAGCCAGAATCTGCAAAGACGAAGTCAGGAAAGCAAAGGCTCAGAACGAACAAAGACTTGCAACAAAAGTCAAAGATAATAAAAAAAGTTTCTTCCAACATATAAATAACAAGAAAAAAGTCAATGAAACAGTCGGTCCACTAAAAAGAGAAGATGGCAAGGAAATAACAGGCAACAGAGAGAAAGCAGAACTGCTTAACTCATTCTTTGCATCGATCTTCATGCAAAAAGAAACTATAGCTCAACCTACCAAAAACATAACTGTAAAAGACAGACCAGAAATAAAAGTTAAAATAAACAAAACAAAAAAAATAGTAAGAGAACACCTGTCTAATCTTGATGAACACAAATCATGGGGCCTGATGGATTACATCCCAGAGTTTTAAAGGAGCTGGCAGAGGTCATCTCAGAACCACTGCACCGTATCTTTCAAAAATCCTGGAGCACCGGGGAACTACCAGAGGACTGGAAAAGAGCTGATGTGGTTCCCATCTTCAAAAAAGGAAATAAAAACAGGCCTAGGAAACTATAGACCAATCAGCCTAACATCAATACCCAGGAAGATACTAAATAATAATAAAAAAACAGATCTGCCAACATCTAGAAACAAGTAAAGTAATAACTAGCAGTCAGCATGGGTTTGTTAAGAACAGATCATGCCAAACCAATCTTATTTCATTCTTCAACATAGTGACTAAATTAGTAGACCAGCAAAATACTGTAGACATAATATATTTAGATTTCAGCAAGGCATTCGACAAAGTAGACCACAACCTACTTCTTAGTAAGCTAGAAAAAAATGGAATAGATAGCACCACCACTAGATGGACTTGCAACTGGCTGGCAAACTGTACTCAGCGAGTAGTCCTTAATGGGTCTAAGGCTACATGGAGGGAAGTAAGCAGTGGGGTGCCACAAGGTTCTGTCTTAGGCCCAGTACTCTTCAATATCTTCATTAACGACTTAGATGAGGGAATAGAAGGGGAACTTACCAAATTTGCAGATGATAATAAGCTGGGAGGAATAGCTAACTCCTAAGAAGATAGGCTCAACATCCAGATGGATCTTGACAGACTAGAACACTGGGCCATATCTAACAAAATGAAATTCAATGTAGAGAAAAGTAAAGTCCTACACCTAGGCAAGAAAAACCAAACGTACGCATATAGACTGGGTGAAACCAGGCTCAATAGCAGTAACTGTGAGAGGGATCTTGGAGTCTTAGTGGACAACCAGCTAAATATGAGCCAGCAGTGTGCAGCAGCAGCCAAAAAAGCTAATGCAATCCTAAGTTGTATTAACAGAGGGATACAATCAAGATCAAGGGAAGTACTAATACCACTCTATAAAGCCTTAGTAAGACCACACCTAGAGTACTGCATCCAGTTTTGGTTACCACATTATAAAAAAGATGTTGAGACTCTAGAAAAAAATACAGAGAAGACCAACCAGGATGATCAGGGGACTGGAGACTAAGGCATATGAAGAACAGTTACAGGAACTGGGCTTGGCTAGTCTAATGAAGAGAAGGACCGGGGAGACATGATAGCGGTCTTCCAATATTTGAGGGGCTGCCACAGAAAGGAAGGGGTCAAGCTATTTTCTAAAGTGCCTGTAGGCCAGACAAGGAATAATGGATGGAAACTGAACAAGGAGAGATTTAACCTGGAAATAAGGAGAAACTTTCAGACAGTGAGAACAATCAACCAATGGAACAGCCTGCCCTCAGAAGTTGGGGGAATGCCATCACTTGAGACCTTCAAGAAGAGATTGGACTGCCATTTGTCAGAAATGGTGTGGAGTCTCCCGCTTGGGCAGGGGGTTGGACTAGATGACTTATAAGGTCCCTTCCAACTCTGATTATCTGTTAATCTGTTTTTCCATATGCTAGAGAACAATTATCTGCACAATTGGTTCTTAGTTGCAACCACAGAAATCCTGTCTGAAAGAATCTTGAGTCTGTGCAGCTCCATTTCACAGCAAATTCCAGACTGTCACCAATTACCTTTATATGATTATCATACCAGTGATGTGATAAGGTGAAAAGGATGACATGGAAAGCGGCATGGTGTATTTCTTTACATTTATCATACCATACTGTTATCCAGCAGGGGGCAGCCTTGGTTTTAAAAGCTTATGTTTCAGTTTAACATTTCTTAAACATTTTGAATGTTTAAGAAACATTTCTTAAACATTATTATTTTATAATAAAACCAGTTCCCAACTCAACCTTCTAAGCATTAGGGTTGTTTTTTTCCTAACCTTTAAACAAGAATATCACATGTGAAAACTCAGCAAATATTCATTTTATTTCCAGTTTTCTTTGAATAGAAGTTATAATGAAACAGAAAGAGGCTGTTTCTAAAAATCAGGGCTGCACTGTTAAAAAAAAGCACCTTCATAACCATTTTTTTTGAAATACGTTAAACAAGATCTCCACTTAACACTTTCCTCAAAATTAAAATATTGGTCTGCTAAGAAGCTTCCCGCTTAAGCCTTTGCAGTTAATTCAAATAATGCAACTGAACATGTCCAGACTTGATCAACAGGATTTAAAATTAAGGCTTCAGAATTATTACTTTTCCCTTTCGTTTGTGGAGATGGAGAGGGCTATAAATGCAGGGCTATTAAAAATCTCAAAATCAAGAGTAAATTGTCTTTATGAATACATGGCCAATGAAGCAGTCTGGAATTAAAGCATCTTTCTTTTGAATATAACTTTGTGTACAATGTTGAAGTCTTTAACGATCTAAATTAAGATAATATAATTCTCTCAGTTAATTAAAATCTAACCTCCTTCCTAAAGCGGAATCTTGAGCACAATTCTGGGAGTTTTTTGCTATATGGACTGAAGAAGTCTACAGATAGTCCTCAACTTGCAACAGTTCATTTAATGACCGTTCAAAGTTACAATGGGATTGAAAAAAGTGACTAATGACCTACCATTTTTCAGAGTTACCACCTTTGTAGAATTCCTATGAGCATGTGATAAAAATTCAGATGCTTGGCAACTGGTTCATACTTATGACCATTGCTGTATCTCAGTTCAAAAGCATGCTGCTTCTCGCTCTTATTATACTGGCATATCTACAGCAAAAATACCCCAAAACAGTGCATGTAGCATAATCAATATTACGTCCAACTTCCATAAGCATTATCCTTTCATGAATTTGTCTTATTTCTTTTTAAGCTGGCAGTGCTATAGTAAGGGACTCTGTGATTTAACTAAATACTGTGCCTGTTATAAATTCCCATGATCAACTTTACTGGGTTATCTCACATCTCTCACAGAAAAATAAAATCCAATCTGACTGTTATTAAAAAACACTGTAGCTGCTTTCATCAAACTATAATTTTACATTCCTCTATTATGTTTTTCATAATCCTTTTGATATTTTTATGACTCAGCCAGGTACACTGATACTAAAATTCCCAGAATGTGGCCAGCATACCAAAGACAGGGAATTTCAGGAAATGGCAGTTCCAAGTCCTCATTCTAGTTGAGAAAAGGGTTCCTAGCTTTAGGATAATTTTATTTGTCCTATTTAGAACCTTTTCCAAATCTGCAGTACGTCTTTTGAGATGAAATCACTGTTAAACTTGTTTCAATAGTTAAAAAAAACACGTATTGCAATGTATCAACTGACATCAATATCTTCCCAGTATTGATTGATGCTGCTGTGCATACTTTTTTAGAACCAAGCTTCACTGATTGAATAAATTGCTATAGAATAACAATACAGAGCACTCTATTTCAGATTGTTGAAGTGACTTTGCACATTTCAGGAAATTTATGTATATGAATTTTAAAATGCTAATGAATTCCACAGAGGGTGTGTTGGCATACATCTGACATGACTTAATTTTAGAATAAAATAACAAGATCATTTTGTTTTGTAGAAAGGTTAAAAAAATGTAAACTCTCACGGTTATATACTGGTTTAGTATATACCACTTTCACTACTGCCATTGGCTGGATAGTGAATAAGCTTTAATGCTAAATGACCCTGGTCTAGAAAACAAGATTTCCTGACATTTCACCATTCACATTTCACTGTGTCCGGCATCATCAGAACAAAGAAAATGAGCAGGGTTTGACTGGGCCCTTGTTTTTAATAGCCGGGTGTTCTGACTTCTAACTGGCCTTAAGTTGAGTTGGTTTCTCATTGGTGCAGGTTGGTGTCTCTGCTCAGTTGCCTAGCAGATCACTTTGCCTTTAAAGATACCACAGTTGCTGACAAAACATCAAGAAACCTGTTCTCTAGACCACAATTATTAAACTCTGAAAACCAACCCAACTGCAGTTGTACTCTACTATAATCATAAACTGGATAATTTAAAAAAAAATAGAGACCACTTTATTTTGAATTTACTTTGATCAAGGTGTTTTATTGCATCTCAGAGGGTATACATGCACTGGGTTTCCTCAAACCAAAATACAAAGCAAATCCATTTGAAATTCTCTCTCTAACTCTCTGTCGTTACAAGGTATGTTATCCCAACAATATACAACCACTTTTTAAAAATAGTACCACATGTTGATTAAATATTAATTTGAAAGACTTAGATGAACATCTTTCCAACCTAATATGCTTTAACAAAGAGCTGCCAAGCCACTTGTAACACTGATCAACAGTGACCTTATTAAGAAGTCAAAAATCTTAAGCTAAGCCATCAGCACACACAGTATGAGAGAACAAACTAAAATGATAAAAGAACACTTTTGTTTACAGTAAAGGGCATAATTCAGGTTCAGTGTGACCTCTAATCACAAACAGTACAGAAAATACATAGTGCTGTATGGGGATGAAAAACACTAATCTAAGATATGTACAGAAAAGAACAAAACTGACAGATGTACATAAAAGCAAAAGGGGAGAAAAATTCATGATTTCCCCCTGGAAACAGTGGGCAGCCCAAGTAGCCTGACAAACCTAAAGGAGTTTGTTTTTGTTATGTTTGAATTATATGGCAAGAAACTTACCCTTTACTTGTTTTCAGTGCATTTTAAATAACAATGATAAATATGATGGTTTTAATGAAAATAAAAGACACTTTTTAAAAAGAAATCTGATAAAATATTTTTATGTGGGGGATTTTTTTAACAACCTTTGTCACGTAACTTGATAGAAGATTATTAATATGAATTTCATTCATATTAGTAGATAAAATGTCAGGAAATTAAAATGTACCCCACAAAAATTTGATAATAATCTTGCTTGGGAAAAAAATACATTCCACACACTTTAAAAAAAAGGATCAACAGTGTTCTTCTTGCTACCTGATATAAACACAATATTGTTTTGTATAACAGATATGCAAAGGGAACTGGATTTGAAGAGAAAATTTAGAGGGTCGCCAAGGTTATTTACATTAAGACCTCCAGAAACACAGACACATCGCTCCAAATGGCTCACCACACAACAGCTGCATAATCTGTTCCTAATGGATTGGTTCAGAAAAGCACTAAGAAGGCATCAGAAACATACATCCATTGTTTAAGTTGAGAAACACATAAATTATAACCCAAGTACACAAACAGAGAGAGAGAGAGAGAAGGGATAACAACTAAAATAGTACACATTCCTATGATCACTTTCACAGCTGTGCTACACGTTTTGAAAGTAGGAGAGAAGTCTGAGTAAGCACTGGGTTTGGTACTGGTGGCTCACTTGGAAATTCTGAGCAACAAAATTCTTGTTTGCAGATTCCAAACTTGCGTCTTCACTTATCCTTTCACAAAACTACAATCACAAAAAGAGGGGGGAAAGAAGTGTTATTAAATTTAAGGGACAGCCATTCAAATTCAGTTTCATAATCTGATTTATATGCCAGACGACAGATGATATAACCTTCCTTTCCCTCAGCTATGTAATGATCTCTTCTTTTTTCCTAAGATATAAAATAATTGGAAACACATTTTCTTCCACATCTATTCTATAGAAGAGTTTCATACACGTATCATTCTCTATCTTTGGCACATATACATACACACTGAGAGAGCGACAGACCTGTAACATTTGATTCAAGATACTAATCTAGTGCTTAAATTCCGCTCTTGAAGTGGAGAAATGGTCAGGAGAAATAGGGTTGTTTGATAGCAAGTGTGCTGCACACACGAATGTCTGTGTTTTCTGTGGGTAAGAATCAGAGAAGGCAAAGAAAGATACTGCTGCTTTTAAAGTTCATAGTTTTTACTGCCTAGTGCAAACTTTGTCCCTTGCTCAGGAGTTATAGGTGGCTCTTAAGGAAGTCTTCTTTCCTTTTCTCTCCACAATAATCTTTCTGTGAAGCAGAATGGGCTGACAAAAGAGTCCTCCAAGGGAGCCTCCATGACTGGGTGTGAACATATATACCTGGGTGTTTTCTATCCTAGTTCAACCCTTCAACCGCTACATCATGTGAGCTGTTCTTTCAGCAAGCTCAGTACTGAATTAACACCATTCAAATCAAAATAAATTCTTAGCACCCCCTGTGAAATATAAAGGAGAATACAAGCTTGAATATATTCGGGGGAAGGATAGAAGAACAAGAGCATACCTTAAATAGCTCATAAGAAATCTTTGATGTTAAGATCTGCTAATGGGTCCTTTGTTGGGGGCTTCTTGGGGCTCTGGGTGGCAGGTGTTGGACTTGGAGAAACCTTGAATAGTTTTCCATTATTCCAGAAGGATAAGGGCGTGAAAGAAAGAAAAATACAATTACAACTATTATGATCCATCTCTAACCAAAATTAATATGCACTTCACAAATATGGGCTTATGCTCTGTCCCACTGAGCAAATATGAGAACTATTGTGATGTTCAGTTTTTAAATTAATAAATAAAAACTGAAATAAAATCACTTTATCATGTATCATCTCTCTTTGAGGGAGGTGAGAGGATTAGAAGTATGAAATATAAATAAACAAATACATTTGAACATTCACTGGGAGGAGGAATCATTTTTGCACCAGTGGCATATTTTTAATAGTTAAACCAGCTTAAGAAATAGTTTTTTAAAAAAGGGGTATTAAAAATTAAAAACTAAACAATTACACAACATTTATATTGTAACTTTGAAAAGTCTTGATGGTTTGAATTGAAAACAGTAACATGTCACACTAGACTGCCTTCCAGAAATAAAAAGGACTTAACAAAAAGGGGATTTTTTTCCCCCTGTTTTCTCCAAAACCAGGCAAGTTCTTACTTGTGCACCAGGTCCTGCAGCTGCTCCAAATGGTGGCCTCATCATCGGTTGTCCATATATAAGAGGCTGCTGTGGCATCATCCCAACGCCAGCTCCAGGAGGCGGCTGGAAAAGATTTGAGAACAAATAACGTCTAAGACAGGGGTCCCCAAACTTGGCAACTTTAAGACTTGTGGACTTGAACTCCTAGAATTCTCCAGCCTGCTATGTTGGCTGGAGAATTCTGGGAGTTGAAGTCCACAAGTCTTGCCAAGTTTGGAGATCTCTGGTCTAAGAGATGCCATTTTATCAAGAAATCTCTTGATAAAATAGGAATGTTCCATGGGGGGGGGGGGGGTGCATGTGCGTGCACACACACATTTTTGGTATCTTTCTCAGATGTGAACCAATTTCCACCTACATGCATCTCAGAGTAGAGTATATTAACTTAAGATGTCAGCTGGAAATTCCAGCAACTGGACTGTGAACATTGCATCAGAAGAATACATTATTCAGTACACAATACATTGTATGCATTTCCCCCCAGAAATAATAACATGTAATGCACATTTTTCCTGGGGGGGAAAAAGCATATATTTTGGCCACAATGTTCAGAAGATAAGCTTCAGGATGTGGATCCTTAAAACGCAGTTGGGAAAAAGACGACTGTTTTCCAGGAAGAACTGCTGTGGTATCTCCAGTAGTTATTCAAATTGTATTTTCCCAGATAAGATTACTGAGATGTTTTAAAAGGCCAGTGTAAAGGAAGAAGAAGTCACTTGGAGAAGTGGAAAGTAGTACTTTTCCCCTCCTATCTGAGTTAGTCCTTACCATCCCAAATCCTGATCCAGTTTGTGGAGAAGCAGCACCTGGTGTAGGGGGGCCAGCACCTGCTGGAGGCACAGATCCTGTCTAGAGATTGGAGTAATAGAGATAAATCACTAACTGGTTAAATTTTATACATATAAAAACAGTTTAAAAGCCCTCGTGTATTGACAATTGTCAAATGTCACAATTTTCAGCACTTATTAAAGAACTCTAGGCTGCCAACATTAAGGTGATATCAGATCAGTTAACTGCAGGCATTGTATCCTGCTGCAAATACTTCATTTAATTAATTATGTGTTGCAAAAAGCTAGACTTATTCTGCATACAAAAATGTTGAAAACGACAAACACAGGAGGTTGGTTTTTTTAATGGAATCAAACTGTTTCTGATTACTCCAATGCTTTTTATGTGGAGCTACATTTAAACAATGTCCATAAGATGTATCTGGGAATGCAAAATGTGCCCAAAAGGCAGCTATTCAGCAGAGAGTAAAATGACTGTACCTTTTCCTTATAAATGAAGAGGATAAAATATCTAAAAGAAATATTCCTGCCCCTCTGTTTCACTGCACAGATAGAAAAAATACCTAGAAATACCTATCAAGCAGAAAATAACTTGGTCTACAGATGCAAGGGTTATTTGCAAATTAGTATCTCAAGTTTAGGTTGACTGTAAAAATAAAGAAATTTGCATTAGTTTGGTAGTAGCCAGGTCTCTCAGTTAGTATAACTTCATAACAAAAGGCTACTTACATAAAAAACAAACGCCCAACCTTTCTGGTAGAAAAAAAAAACACTTGCATTTAGTCTATTGCTTTCCTTACACCGGGAAAGTTCATTACGCTGTTCAATATTTAATATGTTACAGTCTTTTGTTAAAATGTTTCCTGTTGCAATTTCACTATTACATTATTATTTATTAGCTTGCAAGAACACAACTCAATTATATGAAAACTGCAAAACAAACTCAAAATATATTATCATTTGAGAAACGAGGAAGTGTTCCACTGCTAGAACAGTAAGATAACAATGCAGCATATAACAATAATAGGATGGGACTCCCATTTCCGTAAAAATGTATCAAAACTGCAGTTTTGGAATAGACAAATGATGCTGATAATTTTGGATCTCAAAACTTTAGTATATGGCTGCATTTTGACATACTAACTCTGTCCCAATAGTTTAGCAGTCATGTTCACATGGAATTTTCTACATCTACATGAAATGTGCGATATCTCCACATACCAAGGGGCTACTCGGAGGAACCCCAGACGCCCATGTTGCAGGTGCTACTTTCGGTTGCCAGTTGGCTCCTCCTGTTAATTTCTTCTCTCCCGCATTCCACTGAAGGTCTCCCCTAAGATTTAGAACGATTTAGAATACGAGTGCTAACTTATTGGCAGGCAGAACTACATAGCATAGCAAAATTCTGGGCTGGAATCTTGCTGGCGTAATTGCATGATTACAAGCTGGTATAAATTTCAAGTCAACATGACCGAATCTTCACCAAGCACAAGGAAAAACAATGCAATTTGTAAAGTGTTTTCGATGACAAGCGCAAAAGAATTTGAAAACCCATTAACTGCACTCCACAATACAGAAGAAACTGCACCATGCCTCTGGATTAATTAAGTACTATATATAGTGTCACTGCTGTACCTCTTCATATTTATTTAGGAATAGAGATAGTCCTGGACTTAGGACTAGACATTTACTGACCATTTGAAGTTATGAAGGCCTCAGAAAGGGTGCCTTATAGCCCATAAATCATTTTGGGTGTTGTAAAATGTCAGGTCACCATCCTCGCAGTTACCTGATCACAATCTGGGCGCTTGGCAACTTGTTTGAATTTACGACCAGTTGCCAAGAGGCCCACAATCATGTGGTCACCATTTGCAATCTTCTCTGCTGGCTTTCCCAGAAAGTCACTGGGGAAGCCAATAGAGAAGGTTGCAAGTTGCTGTTGCCTGCCAAGGGGATTCTCTCTTTTTCTCAAGGGGCTGGCTAAAAGAGCTACCTGCCAAGGGAAGTTGAACTGCTTCAGTTAGGTGAGGAAATGGAACTCGGATCCTGATGATTTGAGCTTCATTGCTGCACCCCATGCAAGGAGTTTCCTTTGACACATGGAGATGACATCCGCAGGGTGCAGAAATGTAGCTCAGATTCTGATGATCTGAAATCCATTTCTGCACCCCAGCAAAGGATTTCCCGTCTGTGTGCGGAGGAGAGATTAGAACCTCCCTGGGGTGCAGAATTAAATTCAGATCCTGAAGATCTGAGTTCCATTTTTCACCCTGCTGAAGGAATTCCCTTCCATGCACGCAGAGGAGCTAACAGCCTTTGGCATGCAGCTCTTTCAGACAGAACGTAGAGGGAGCCAAAATCAAAGCAGAGAGGTAGTGCAATAAGGTAAGGAGCATGGGGTGTCTCAGATGGATGGGAGAGGACTTGAGAGGCCAGTGCAGGCCAAGCACAAGTGTTCCTCCACGAGGACCTTGAAAATCCTGTTTGGGTTTCAACAGGGAACATTTCCAGCCTCTTAAGGCAGGGATGCCAAAGTCATGTTGTCACAGCGGTGTCACATGACATATTGGGACTTTTCCCCCCCTTTCCCCTATCCCGGGCATGGGTGTGGCCAGCGTGTGACGCATCTGGCCCACGGGCCGGGACATTTGACAGCCCTGTCTTAGGGTCTTCCACCCCACATGCATGCCAAATGGGACTCTGTCCACTTAACAACCTGTGTGATTGTTTGATGGCCACAACCAGGAGTGCTGAGGCTGTGGTCATTGAGTGAAGCAGTCATGTGGGCAGTCATGTGGCATCTCACACTTAACGACTGCTTTGCTTAATGTCTCAAATTCCAGGCTCAATTGTGGTAGCAAGTTGAGGATATCTGTAATTTACATTTGTTTTTTAGGAAAGTGAAGAAATTGTGGAGATTACTGATATTACATTAGGTTGTAAAATCTGACATTTTGGATTGGAAAAAAAAATTACCATTTTGACTGTTTCGCAAAATCATTCTACCTTTTGCAATATTAGATGTATAATAATAATTAACCACCAACACCACCATCAAAAGGCCATATATGGACTATATAAAAATATTGACTACAGTATTACATTAGAAATACACAACTATCTGGGACTTTGCATTAACTAGCTACTTACTTCTTTGTTGTGGTACCAGAAATTCCAAGATCTGCAAAAGAAACCAGGAATCTTAAAAGATCGTTTCATATGATAGTAGATGTCAAGAAATAACATGTTTGTCCACCAAATAAATAGGCAACTCAGGTTGAGCTGACTTAGGCAGCATTCAGTCAGTTATCTAAAAGTTACAATAAACTATATAATGATAAAGTTAGATTTTATATATAATTACACTATATCTCTGAAAATTTTCTTATACCATTCAGTCAGTGATGTCACAACTCTAACTGATCTAGACCTCAACTTACCTGATTACTTTCTTGATTACTTTCCTAACTATAAATACACAGGACATAATAAGCTAAATTTAAGAAAATGTTAATTGTTCCTCCATAACAATCATTATTTTTATATTTTCCACTTTAAAAGCTACTCTTAGAAATATATGTTTTGTTAAACAGTCCATTACATGGACTGAGCGATATGAAAACATGATGCACCTTGGTCTCAAAAGTTCAGGATGAGAAAAGGAACTTTCTGTAACAACCTAAATTGTAACACAACTACACTGTCTTCCCACATAAGGGAAGAAACACACCCTTCAAAACATAGTAACTGAACTCAGGAATAGCCAACTGGTGCAGTAAGTGTAAGTGTAAAAGATCAACGGTCATAAAAAGAAAATCACTGTCAAACCTAACAATTTCTCTGACTTACTTCCTACTAAGTTTGCAAGAGAGGAATCAAGATCACTTCCAATGGGTTTGGTTGCAGCTGAAGCAGAAGCAATGGCTGTGCCTACACAGGACAAAGTCTGACCAGTTTGCATTGTAGTGGGCATAAGAAGATCACCTAAGCCATCAAACACTGGAAAATTTAAGAAAATCAATAGATTAGGAAAAATACTTTTTCAGGCAATTAAACTTTCACATAATAAACAGATGCTTAAATGGAGAATCCACAACCTTTTAAAAACATACAAAAATCACTACTGATCTTTGAACCATCACACAGATTTAATGCCAACGTAATGCCAATGGAAGGCATGCATGCTTTTTGACCAACACATTGAAATAAATGAATTCCAAACATACTACAATAAGACAAAGCATTAGACAACACTGACTTTTTAAAGTATGAAAACAGTCCATGTTGCTGTACTGCACACTTTTATGTTTTTAACACTCATATATGGTAGAATTGATTCACATATTATTGTGTCCAGAAATCTAATGAGAATGTTACCATTTTCTGGAACAGTAAAAAAGAAAAGTCAGTTTGACATTACTTTCACCCAGTATGGCCCCTAAAATTAATTCAGGTTTTCCTATTCATTTCTGGATTTTTCCAACAACATTTGAACCAAAGGAATCACCATTTATTAGCCAATTAGCTATTTAAGACTTACATGAGGGTTTGTCTGAAGTGGGAGTGTTGCAACTAATTATTATTTCCTGATTTACAGATTTGGAAAATAATCATAATAAATAATGGTCTCTTTTGTAAAGATTATTTTTATTAAAATATTGACATAACAAAGGAAGCTAGAAAGTAAAATGAATGCTTTCTAGGAACAAGTTCAGGGAGAGGGGGGAAAAAGGAGCAGGTAGAAAGTAAAGTAAAAGACAAAGATTTGGGGTAAGCATTGTTTTTGCTGTTGATAGACATAACCTGGGAAATTTTTTAAAAAAATCCAGTGGGTGGGAAATCTTTTTCAGTGGAAAGAGCACGGACTATGTACTTTCAAGTTTGTGTCACTGTTAGCAACCACAGATTTTTCTCCAAGATGATCTGCCATAGACTGGCCCTTTGGGTTTTGGAAAGGGCACAGATAGGAAATTCTTGTAAAATAGGGGGAGGGAGGCTGCATTAATATTGCCATGGGACAAGATGAGGGCCTTTCTCCTTATTTATTGTGGGTAAAGTCATTACTACTCTGCTGCTAATAGAAGCACCACAGTAGTCATGTGTTATTTACTATGCAATTCGTATCAGGCTGTCTGGGTTTGAGATGGATTTCACAAAAAACCCAATGATGCTCTACACAAAACACATTTATGTCTTCCAACGAACCATCAAGATATATGGACCAATATGGATAAGATGGGCATCAACTCCCAGAATTCCCAAGCCAGGAAGAAATTGGCATTGAAGGTTCAAATGACAATCATGTAATCATGTGGCACTTGTGGCTTTAAGTACAAATCATGTGGCACTTGTGGCTTTAAGTGCAAATGGGTTGCCAAGCATCCAGATCGTGATCACATGATTGCAAGGATGCTGGAACAGCTGCTGACCAAATGGTTGCATACCAAAAAAAAACAAAAAAAACCAACAACTAATATCGTCCCACTGTATCTAATGAACCAGAACTATCTAATCCAGGCAACATTACATAGTCAGTAACGCCAATTCATAACAGATACAGTATGCATGCTAATGGTAGTAAGCAGAGTTGCACTATGCTCCGGCAAGCAGTAACTATAAAGCAAAGTACTACTAAACTATTTGGTTTCTTTACTTTTTTCTGTTGCAGAACTCACCCAAAACGCAAATTTGTAGCAAGGCCCCAGCATGGTAGTAGACAATGAAAGAGACACAAACAGAAACGACAGAGCAGTAATGAAAAGTCAAGCCTTGTGTCAAAGGACAAAATACACTGGACCTCCTTTATTTTTAAATTCTGGTGCCATGCGTGTTTGGGAAAGGCTCTGGAGAATGGCAGCACCACATAGCCATATGCTGAGTTGTACAGGAATAAAGGTATCTGCAATTTCAGGAGCTTCTTTTAAATGACCATGCATATAAAGCACATGCAAAAAATACAGAATATAGGCACTTTGGTTTGATGTGTGCTGAAATCCTATGGAAGAGAAGTGGGTAGAAGGAACTATTTTGCAAATTATACATTAAAAGTAGTATACTACATATTCATCTGTTTCTGAATGTTTTCATGAAAAAAAAACAAATACTTTAGACATAAGGGAGAATTACAGTAGCATATTTTGGAGACGAAGGCTGCACAGAAGAATCCTTTCACTCACCTGAGGAATCAAAGGAACTGCCAGCAGGGGAAGGAGAAGGGGCTGCTCCAAATGCTGCTTCAAAATTGGGCTGCAATATATTAGCCTGAGCTGGTGTGATAGGGGAAGGTGATGGAGAAGGAGCAATAAAAGAACCTCCAAAGCCTTTTAAAAAAATTAAAGAGAAATAAATTAATTATTAGCCTAATACTAAGAACTAATCTACAGGCCTGAAAAAAACATTATAATTGGCTTTGACAAACAAAGTTCCTTTCCTCTTCTTGATGGGATTATTATTGTTGTTCCCACAGTGAAACTAAAAGGCACCAAGGATAAATGCAGAAAAGTATAGAGGGGGGGTTAGCAAAATTTTGTTGCCCGTAAAAGTATAAAGTGTGGAAATGAGCAACAGTTGGTAGGTTAAATGTGGATTCACACAAGATAAGGAGTTTGCCCTGCAGAATTCTGCTCTTCTACAGGTCCCTGAAAAGCAAATCAATGAGAAACTTTTATTTAAAGAAAACATGTTTTGTGTGAAAGTGTTGATTCCTAAAATAAACAATATACAACAGAAGTATAGCATGCATATGAATGCATGAAAAGGTTAGTGAACTGTTCAATAGAGATTGAAGCCAGGGACATTTGATGTTCCCCTTGTTACATAATGTATATGTATACAAGTATCTAATGAATGCCTGTGATTGGTCTAGTGTTGTCAGGGACATATACAGTAGTTTGGCAGGCAAATACGTTGCAAACCTAAATGATTTACAGCAAATATTAGATACAGTACTTGTATAATAAAATAAGGCAGCGGTCCCCAACTTTTATGGCTTGGCGGCCCATGCGGGAAAAAGAGGAACCGGCCCACAGCTTGCGCTAGTTGAGCTGCACACGCATGTGCACTGGCCCGCTGCTCACGCAAATCAAGCTCGGCAGGTATGTGTCGGCCAGCCGTTCATGCAAGTTGAGCTGCATGGGTGCATGCCGTCCTGCCACTCACACAGGCGCAGGTGTGTGCCAGTCCGCCACTTGTGCAAACCAAGCTGTGGAGGTGTGCGCCGATCCGCTGCTTACGCAAATCAAGCTGTGCGGATGCGCGCCAGCCTGATGCTCACACAAGTGAAGCTGCGTATGCACGGGCCCACTGGTTCTGAAGGCCGTGGCCTGAGGGTTGGGGACTCTGCAAAATGGAGTGTGGTTCTGAAAATTAATGTACTAATGTGAAGGCATTTGTGTTTGACAGGCAAGATGGAATGAATAATTACAACAGATACATAAGTGGCAAAACAAAGCAGACATACAAATTGTGTATCTTAGTAAATATTTTCTAGCCATGAGAAAATGGAGACATTTTGAGAAATAGAAAAGTAGTGGGTAGCACATATTCTAAAAACGAATGGAAGCAAAAAAAGTGAAAAGGCTATCCATAAATGTGTAATTCTGCTCATTTTGTAAGGATTGGAAATGTCAAGAGAAATGAAAACACTAATTGGAAATTGCTTACTTAGAAGTAAATGTGGTAAAACAAGAAGAGATGGGGTCAAGAATGGATGCTGAAAGAATACAGATTGAACACAAAAGCCAGTGGGTATGAAAGGAGTACTTTAAAGCTTGGTGATACACAGAGACTGAATGAGTATCAAATTACAAACAAGTAGGAACAGTGCTTGTTGAAAAGGGGAAAACTGAGACTATTGGATGGAGTTAATAAGATTTTCAGAAAAAGAAATGTAAAAAGTTATTACATTTTACTCCTCCCCCACCTTCTCTGAGGTTTACAAAATGTTGCCTTACTTCACAAGGGATTAGCACAGCTTTTTAAAAAAGGTTAGATTTGCATCTGTGTAGGAGAAAGGTTGCACGTTTACGTTTATTATTTAAAAATTAATCTCAGGAAGACACAATAGGCCAGCAATTAATGTCATTCTTTCCCCCTATGTGTTGTAAACAGTTGGCGGATTTGGCATTGATTAGACTAGCAACCCATTTTGACAACTGCTATTTCGGTTTGTAGGAACTGTTTCTCCTTCCTGCTTTAAATTGCAGAAGGAATAACCTCGAGGAACAGGAGGAAGAACTGCAACCAAGACAACACTGAGATAAAATAAATCTGAGTCAGGCTAGAATTGTAATCTGAGTAAATATTTCAGGCAAGACCCTCCCTACTTCTCAGAAGGTTAAAGGGAAAAGGGAAGCAAATTCAGACTTATAAGACTTTGCACTCTTGTAATGAAAACAATATTAGCATGCATGACTTTAGTTTTCTAACCTGGTTTACCTAGGACTGACGGAACAAAACACATTATACACATTAGCATGCACTATCAAGTTTCAACCGTAGCAAAGAAAATCAAACTATAAAGCATATTTTCTGAACTGTGTATCTCAAATAAAACAAAAGGTGAATTGATACGTAGCTATTTATCAGAATGTATGCTTTCTAATAAATCTGTATCTGTTTTATATCTTCTCTTTTGGGTGTTCATTGAATATTCAAAGCAGTAACAACAATAAATTTATGGAGCTAGAAATGGAATTTCTTTTGAAGTCTAAGTGAATTTCCATTCCTTGTCCTGTTGAAGACCCTAGCTTCAGACATTCAGTAAAACAAGCAGAAAGCCATTCTGAACTAACATAAGAAATACCCTGTCATATAATTTAATTGGTTCACGTACCCTGGATTGAGAGGATCTTATTTAGCAACAATTTATGCCTTCTTTCCTGACCGTTCTTTCAAATCTAGTACATAGCTGTATACCGTAAGAATCAGATTGCTACTAATTACATGTTACTTAGTAATTATTATAGACTAATAGTATAAACCAATATGTAGATAAATAGAATAGTATCATATAAATTCATAGGTAAACAGGGGGAACACATGAGCTTCTCAATGTCTTAATTACAACTAAGGATATTTTCTGCAAGCAGCAATTATTAATACTTATAATTACTAATATTTATAAAGAGAAATTAATATAGCTTCCTGGAGTGGTAAGTGTCACAGAATGTTTATAGTTTGGAAGTATAGTAGCCTTAGTGATGGTTCATTGGCTATTATTTTGGTCACAGTACAGAAAAGATGCAGTAAAAACATGCACACCCTTTATTAAAAAGTACCACAATTATATTTCATTACCAGCTAATAGGTCAGCAGAAGCAGAAGTACTAGAAGCAGTTGAAACTGCAGGTTGGGGCTCCAAAGGGCCACTTCCAAAAGCATCTTTTTTTCCCCCATAAGGCAGCAATAAAAGATAATAGGATTTAAAGATATTGTAAATATATAAACATGTAACATTTGGAGGAGAATGCAACTATGAATGTGACATGATTTTCAAGACCATAAAGGAAGGATTGGTAAAATATATGAAACAGCCCGAGGAATAGTTGTATCCGAATAGAAGGAGGAGTGGCAGAACCTGAGAGCAGATTCAAAAAGAAGAACCAGCCTGGAGTTTCTATGTTGACCACGTCCGTTTATGGCTACGTAGAGAGTCCAGGATGATTCTTCTTTTGACTCCAAACCCAGCTTCCGTCACTGCTTGTCCTACAAGTTGTTCTAAAATCAGAAGAAACCAAAGAAGGACCCAGACAATTTCAGAAGTATGGCAGATGTACTGATGAGAAGGGATGGCAGTGATAAGATTTTCCACAGGAAGATGACCCCAAGAAAACTGCTAGCTTTCTGAGAGCGTGTTCTTTTCCTCATTTCTCCAAACCCTTTTGAAACTAGTTTTGCAACCCTGTGTAGATCTATGCATAGAAAATTTAAGGAGACCGTAAGTATTTCCTGTCCAAAGTCCAGTAGAATTTTGTAGGGTATCATTCAATTCCTGTGCTGCTGCAAAATACAGGCCTTGGATCTCCCTTTCCCATAAACCATGCAGAAAATTAATAAAATGTATTGTCGCTTCCCTAGTATCATTTCATATTTTCTTAAGATCTTGTATGTACTCATCTAGCCACCTGTAAATACGTCTGAGCAAACAAAGGAGTAGCTGCAAAATTCCAAGCCAAATTTCTTCTTTTGCATTTTAAAGTGTATTGCTAGGTCTGGTGATGAAAAGGAACAGCATGCCGACACTTCGGCAAGGAGGTGCTTTTCTCACTAGCTGTAACCATAGTTACATGAGGGTGTGGTTGTGCAGTCAGAAGGCAAGATATGTTGTAGCCCAAACAAATCCTATACAGAGGCATCATGAACAGGACACTGAAGGTTCATGGGAAATAGTCTGGAAGCAGATACTCTTAATGAAATAAGAAGGGATGGAAAAATATTGGTATCTTGTCATTTGTAAAGTGGCCACTTAAGAAATCAAAAACAAAAAGTACTGTGAGCAATCTGGTGCTTTGCCATTGCCAAAAAAAAAAAAAAAAGTGAATGCAGACAGTAGGGATGTATAAAGCATTTGAATAAAGTGCTTCGCAACTTCACTTCACAGGAAAGAAAATCAATGGAGGTTTCTGTTTGTTAAGACATCTGCAAATAGGTTTTCGAAGCAGGCACAAAAGCTGTGGCTCCAGAATTCAAAAGAAACCCTTTATTTTCTCTTTTCTAATGCACTGTTTTCTTCTTTTCCTCCTCTACATTTTACCTATCTATTCATCATCGCAGGTTTTCTGTGCACACGAGCAAGACAACCTCTGCTTGTTCCCACAAACATACAGTCCCACAAGAATACTCTCTGTTGCCTCTCTTTCCTTGGTATTCTGCAGCTTTCCTTTTCTGGATCTCATTTCAGGAGAACCTGCAGACAGATTGTTCCAGCACCTACTGAGCTGCCTGTTTGCCTGCCTTCCCATCTGCCTTTGGCAAAAATATAAAGGGCATCAGAGCCAGGCGAGACAAAGAGAGAGAGACTAACTGCTATGAAGCATATGGAATACTGATTGCTTTTCGTTTGATTGAGACGGAGGCTCTACCAAAAAATAATAATAATCAATATATCAACAGTATTTGCAGGAGAAAAATTTCCACAGTATTTTTATTTTTGGTATCTGAAATGAACCAAATTTATTTGTAAAATTTAATGAGTGTGCTATCTAATAACATGTTTCATATCTATTGCTATTCTGTAAATCTGAGGATTTCCCTAATTTATACTGCTTCCAATCATAAAAAAATGTATCTTCTGTAAGGTAAACATTCTGCCTGGTTGTATATCATCACTGCTCTTAATGAAAGTTGTCATCATTTGTGCTTTTTCCCCTTTAAGTGTCTAATGTTTTCTTGAATAATATCGCAAATTATGAAGGACATGTCTTTTTGATAAAAAGCAGTAACAGTTTGTGTTTTATGCTTGATCACAGTTATACCCTTCGTGGTTTGTAACTAAAAGACAGTAGATACTATGTATTAAAATAATTTCAATTAACATCCCAGAAGCCCATATACCAAACCTGGGCATTTTACAGCCCCCAGGCCACATCTGGCTTTTTTGGGTGTCCCTAACAAGCCTGTGTGAGGTCAATCGGAAATTAGAAATCAAAGGTAAATACAACACACAATACAACTGCATTACTTTTATTTTGAAGGTGACTATTTTTTTTCCAATTTACGTACGTGCGTCCATGCATGCGTGTAGCCCTATTCGTTTCCCACACCTGCCATAGAGAAATAATTGCTAAGCATCACAAGAGCAGCCTCAATTCTACCAGACTTGTCTGAACAGATAAGACAGATAGATGACAGACAGATAGATGGATGGATAGATGGAGGATAGATGGATGGATTTAGATAGATAGATAGATAGATAGAT